CTGGAAGGGGACACCTTCCTCTCTGGCTCCTCACCACTCTGTCTCTGCTTCCTAATCACAAGCATTTTTCTTTTGTGGCAGACCCTTCTACGAGGTTGTTCTGCATTGGAGCAAACTGGCTGCCCATTAAAACCATAAACCAAAATACACCTGTCCTCCTTTATGATGCATCAGGTATTTTGTCCCAGTGACGGGGAAGATGATTTGATTTGAACACAAATTGTTTAAGTACCAGAAAATGTTTAGTCTTGTGTTTTCTACTCTTTTCTAGTGGACAGAAACACAAACTACAGTTATACCTTGATTCACAAATGCTTCTATTTGCAAACAACTTGGTTTACAAACAGAAGCATATGGAAATTTTTTGCCTCTGTTCTTAAACTCCATTTGAGGTGGCAAGCACACCCATGGCCATCTTTCCCACATCAACACAAATGTAACCATCTCCCCAAAAAGTGTAAAACAAATCAAGTTCATAAGCTGATGCCTACATCCCCAGCCGTGGACAGGTACCAGCAATCAGTCCACAGCCCTTGGTGTTCTTCATCCCAAGCTCATGGAGCTTTGTCAGTCCACTACCCAGATCAGCCAGGCCCCACCGCAAGGCCAAGGGGATGCTCCCACGGGGGCCCACAGCTGTCCCTGGTGCTACGTCCTCTTCCCCGGAGTCCTGCCCACTGCCTCCTGGAATTCCCAGCTCTGCCTCCTTCCCAGGCCTCCTGATGGGTCTCTCTGTGCATCTCCTCCCTGGTCCACACCCCGGACATCCCTAGGTAGCAAGCAGGCATCACTGCAGAATTTTATACTTGCTTCCCTTCTCTCACGGGTCACAACCTGCAATCCTGTTGTCATGTCTAAAACTATTATGTCATACATTTTCTCATTTTCTAGTTCTAATAGGAAAGCAGTTCTTCACAAGGGAAGATCAACATGTTTAAACCTAAATAAAATTTGAATTGTGTTGTGTACTCTTAAAGTTCATACTCAGAGTTTTTGTTTTGTTTTGTTTTTGAAAGAAAGCCTTTATATTTAACACAGTAAAGCTTTTTTTGGGAAATGCTCTTTAGGAGCTTCTAGAGCTGTGCTTTCCAATATGGTGGCAAGTCACAAGACCTCTTGTTCTGTGCAGAGCTGCTGAAAACATAACCACACAGCCAATATTCAAGACTTAGCATTTTTTAAAAAGCGTGAAACATATTTATTAGATTTTTGTAAGTCAAGATGACAGTGTTTTAGAGATTTGGAGGGGTTAAAATTATATTTACAAAATTAATTTTTTTTTCTGTATCTTATGGAAGCATCTACAGGGTGTTCAGGGTCTCACTACTAGATCAGACTCACAGTGATCCGCCTGTTCACAGCCTCCCAAGAGCTGGGATTATGGGCACGTGCCACAACGCCCAGCGTGCCCCAGGGGTGGGACCAGCAGGGCAGGCCTGGGGATCGAACCCAGCCCTGCACCTGCTTGCAGGAGCTTTAATCTGCTGAGCTATTTGGCCGGCCCTATAAAATTAATTTCATCTGCTTCCTTTTACCTTTTTAGTATTTCTACTGGAAAATGCACAGTAATCCTTGTGAGTCCCACTCCTCCATGAGTGGTCTGTGCTGCCTTCCAGCTAGCTTTCCTGCCGACACAGAGCCCTTTCTTGGCTTGTGGAAATCTTTTCTTGGTGAGGTTTCCCACTACTTTACTGTCTTTTCCTTCCCAGACCCCTTTGAAAACTGAAATCTGCTGTTCTCACATTGCATTGTGGTCCAAAATCACTCATTGGCACCTGCTTAAAGAGCAGATTCTCAGACCTCCAATCAGAGATCCTGACCTGACAGACCAGGGTGGGGACCAAGAGACTAACTCAGTTAAGAAGAATGATGCTCTACAAACATGGAGCAACTTTCAGCTCTATTCTTCGTCATCTTACCTCGTGCATTCCTTGGGAATTCATCTTCCTAAACTCATCCCATCTCCAAAAGTAAAGCTATTATTACTCAAAAACTAACATTTCCCCAGTGTCTGATCTTCCCAGTGTGATCCCCCTCACGTCCTGAGCTTTCCTGCCACCTGCCCAGGAAGAATTCTCCTTGGATAACGACACAGCATACACAGAATCGAAGCCCCAATCTCTCTTCTCAGCCCAGAACTCCTTTTGATCTCCTAGTTGGCGGAATTCAAACCCTAACATCACATCCTCTCCCTTCTAACATCTACATTTAACCAGCTACAATATATGCTATTAGTGATTGTGTAATTGCTATCCTCTAAGCCTTCTGAATGCCTATAGTGCAGCTGGCACCCCTGAAATGTTCAGGCAGACAGCCACTGTCACATAACGGGGCCCTGTGTGCTGCACACCCTGCAGCACTCTCCCCATCCTTATCCTCCTGGATGCAAGTGGCAGCCCCAAGCTGGTACAACTGGAAGTGTCTCTGGACATTATTAAATGTCTGGCCATGAGCAGTGGAGGAAAGAAACCCTCCCTCACACCAGACCCCATCTCAGCTGACATCATCAACCATCTGAACGAGGCTAAGAGATCCCACACCTTGTCAGAGCTGAACCTTGCCCCCGTTCTTTACCTTGTTTTAGTTTTCATCAGGAAAAAAACTCAGTTCTAATAGTTTATTCTTTATTTATTTTTGTATTTTAGGGAAGGGTCTATAGGGTCTTCAGGGTCTCACTACTAGATCGGACTCGTGGTTATCCCGGTTTACAGCCCCCCAAGAGCTGGGATTATAGGTGCGTGCCACCAAGCCCAGTCTCAATTGCCGTCTCACCGTGCCTCAGATGCAGAGCCGGCATGCCCAGGAATCAATCCCCCAGCCCCTGTGCCTGCTTGCAGGTGCTTAATCTGCTGAGCTATTTGGCCAGCCCTCTAATAGTTTTAAAACATCAGAATTTATCTTCTACTCCAGCCATACTAAATACCTCTGCAATTTTATTAGACATGGATGAAATTCCTAAGAGGAGTTAACTGTAGACAGTAAGCAAGCTAGTAGTTTATGACACAAATACACAACTCCTAGGTATTAAATATAGAATGAGTAAGCATGCAGTTCACAAAACACAGGCAGAATTGTGTTAAATATAAATAGTATGTCAGTAAACTGTAAGACATGACCAAGTTAAAACAAATAGAAAATATGCTGAACAGAGTCATTTAAAGCCCAAAGGTCCGGAAAAAGTTGTTAGGAACAACCACTAACAGACAACTGTCAACCCTAAACCAGCCACCCATCCATACCCTGATGACGCCTAGAACAGTTCCGTATTTTCCAACCCAAGAAATGCAAATAAAACCTGTGTCTGATGGGCACCCTGACTCCTCAGCTCTTCTGCCCAACAGAGCGGGCACGTACCGTGGCTCCCAGCATCTCCCCTCTGCAGTTTCCTTCCCTCCTGGAACCCTAGCTCCAGCTCTGGAGCATTTCACCGCTGTAGAGGCTCACCCGGCTGTCAGGACACATCAACCTAAGGCGGAGGTGGCCTTCCGTTGCTCGTACATCATCAAAGGCACCTCAACTTACTACAATTATTACTTCTTGCTTGTTGCGGGTTCCTTAAATTGATTCACTAACCCTTTTTAGTAAAGAACCTTCATTTGATCTGTGAGGTTTGTCGCATGGCCTCTGGGATAGTCAACGTGAAGGCCATCACCGCGTAAAGTCTCTGGAGTGGAGAG